TTTTTTAACATTTTCTAATGGTGGTGTGCCTCGTGATTTTTTTCATGAAAAAAGTGTGCCTTTGCACAAAAAAGGTTGAAAAACACTGCTATACTGGATCCACCCAAAGAGCACTTGCAAGCCGATAAAACTTTGGGGCAGCGAAATCCCATTGCAATTGAAGACTCCTATAGCCTTGAAAATGCTTTTTGCACTGTTCCAGTCTCTGCATGCAAGCTGATGGGAAGCTTGAAGCAACATGGTTTCTCTGCCCAAAAGTCTCTTTGGCTTGCAAACATTTTTCGTGCTATCCCAGTGTCAGCTTGAAGAGTGCTTGCAAGCCAATGAGACTTTGGGGTAACGATATAGCATTGCTTGAAGCCTCCCATCAGCTTGCAAATGCTTTTTGTGCTATTCCAGTCTCAGTGTGAAGAGCACTTGAAAGCTGATGGGAGGCTTGAAGAAACACGATTTCGTTGCCCCAAAGTCTCGTTGTCTTGCAAATGCTTTTCATGTCATCCCAGTCTCGATGTGAAGAACACTTACATGCTGACAAGACTTTGGGGCACTGAAATTGCATTTCTTCAAGCCTCCCATCTGCTTGCAAGTGCTCTTCGCACTGAGACTGGAATGGCATGAAAAGTGTTTGCATGCTGATGGGAGGCTTCAAACACTGCTATTTCACTGCTCCAAAGTCTCATCAACTTGCAAATGCTTTTCGCGCCAAGACTGCAAGCAGGCAAAGAAACCACAGCAGAGAAGTTGGAGAGGAGATATATCTTCAAAAGGTAAGTGACCTACTGTGGAAGGATGGGGGACAGCAAATGTGGGGACCCCAGGGGAGGGAGCATGAGATATCTCAGTGAGCTGGGTAATCTGAAGTGGGTGTCCTGTTCCATCGTAAGCCCCCCCCCCAAGGCCTTCCCAACTGAGTGACCTCATGTGAACTTAATGACCTGTGTATTCAATTAGTGAATGTTGGGCAAAAGCAAAAAGTGATTGTGGTGAAGTTATGTGATTCACTCCTACAAATCCTCGGATTATGGATATAATTGGTATGCTCCACTATATTCGTAACTCGAGGACTATCTATACTAGTGTTGCTTTTTAAAATTTATACCATCTATTCTTTTTTTGGAAGCTACAAATAGGATACTGAATGCTGCCAGCCTCTTATCTTTCATGCAGAGTGCTATATAAACAGCCTCACTTATACTTTACTTTAACCTTAAAACATAGGTTGTTGCTATGCAGAGGATGGGTATAAGAATGGCTCGTCTCAGATTGAATTTGGGAAAAAATATGATTTGAGTTTTAAAATTACTCAAACAGTAGGATTTTTTTTTCACATTATATGCCATGTGATCCCAGGCTTTGCTCAGAGAAACCTCCAAATGAAATAAAACTTCATTCATTTGATGAAAAGCCCACCTATACCAACCAGAAATGGATACATCATATTTTCATTCCTTTGAGATTAATGAAAGGGAAAAGGGAAAGAACAGGACTCTGAACTTTGCTACAGTCTAAGCCTGGGATGGCAAACCTATGGCACATGTGCCACAGGTGACATGCAGAGCCATTTGTCAGGACATGGGAGGCATCCTGTCAGCTGGCCAGTGCACATGCGCGCACTGGCCAGCTGACTTTAGCTTTTTTTTTTAGGCCATTTTTCGCCCTCTCCAGGCTCAAGAGGCTTTATAGGAGCCTAGGGAGGGCGAAAACAGCCTCCCCCCCTCCCCAGAGGCCCTCCAGAGGCTTCAGGACAGCGCAAAAAAGGAGTCCTACAGGCAAACCGGAAGTTCGGGAATAGACTTCCGGTTTGCTCAAAGGGCAGGTTTAAGTGACTTCTGGTTTGCTCTTAGGGTCATTTTTTGTCCTCCGGAGCCTTCAGGAAAGCCTCCGGAAGGCCCATAAAAGTTCCGGAGAACTTAAACCGGCCCTACGAGCAAACTGGAAGTCCGGTCCCAAACTTCCAGTTTGCCTGTAGGGGTGGTTTTTTGTGCTCTGGAGGCTTCAGGGAAGCTCCTGGGGCCTCTGGGGAGGGCAGGAGGCTGTTTTCACCCTCCCGGGGCTCCTATAAAGCCTCTGGAGCCTGGGGAGGCGAAAAAAGCATGCAAAAAGTGGGGGGAGCACCTGTCATACGCGCACGAGCCAAAAAAGATTCTCCATCGCTGACCTAAGCTATAGCCCTTCAGTTATGCATGAACCTCTAATACTTCATTTTTAGATGATCACATTTTTGATGATCACATCAACTCCAACAGTAAAAGTAAAACCAAGAAAAACTTGGTTAGCTTAGGTTTTACCAAGATAGCACAGGCCTATGAAAATAGTAAGAAATCTGTAGGCAGTGTGGGGAACTTAAAATGCTGCCTTATACAATACATTTCATCTTGATTGTTTATGACCTTATGGGACTTTATATGTTCTTTCCTTGTCCTAGACAACTCCCACAATTATTACATTTGGGACAGTCTGCCAATTTTTTTTACTAGCTACAGTAACTCCATTGGATATCATCAACTCCAAACAACTTTTAAATATATCTACAAAGTATTTTGTTGTTATGCTTATATTAGCCAGTGTATTTAAGCAGATATCAACCTCTAAATCCTTAAGAGTTTTTTGAAACTTAAAAGTATTTTTAAAACTTAAAAACTCTTTCTGCAAAGGGAAAATTTCTGATGTCATAATTCAATTATTAGAGATATTGGCAAGTTATGTTGACAAGGAAGAATGGAAGTCTACTGAAAATCTAGCTTTTTAAAATTAAGTTGGTGGGAAGAACCCTGCTGATTCACTAAATTCAAATCTAAGCTTACATTCATATTGTAACTAAAATCTATTACCAATCCATTACACTGTTGCAAATAAAGTATACAGGTTGTCCTCAACTTATGACCACAATTAGGACAATAATTTTTGTTTCTAACAATATGGACATTAAATGACTCATCATGTGACTTGGCCCAATCCAGCTTCCCCAATTGACTTTGCTTGTTAGAAGTCAACTGTGAAGGTCACAAATTGCAATCACATGACTGCAAGTTACTGCAACTGTCATAAATAAGAGCCATTGCCAGTTGCCAAGCATCTAAATTGCCATCATGTGACTGAGCATAATTTCAAGGGGGAATTGTAAGTCACTTTTTCTGAGTCCATCATTAACTATGAACTATCATTAAATGAACAATAGCAATAGCAATAGAACAGTCATAAGTTGAGGACTACCTGTAGTCGCTTCCACTGAAAACTCCCATTGTGATAGCAGAAAATGTTAAATATTGATATAATTTGAAAGATGTTTTAAGTAATGGTTTTTATATATAAACTATATGGTATTAACACAACAGAAAACAGAATTTAACAAGAGCATTGTGAATTTGTCACTAACTGCTCCGAAAGACTCATACAGTTAATGATTCAGCAGGCATGTCAACTAGTACTTTGGCTAGTCTAAGCAGAAAAAGAACAAACGAGAACTTTAGAGTAAAGACAATAGATTAGACAACTATAGGTAATAGGAACCTTTCATCATTAAGGACATGGTATGCAAAGCAATAGTAAGCAACTTTTGATCATGTCATTCATTACAACAAAAACATTGATTCGATGCACTTGGTTTTTTTTTAATAACGCAAACCTCAACAGCAAGCTATACCTCTTACAATTTCAAAGTCACACAATAAAAAAATATCAGTTGTTTTATACTTATAATTCAAATGAGAAACACGACCTACTTTAAAGGCAGTATTCTATTTGGGATCTAACCGAAATTAATCAAATTCCACCATCAGTGTATTTTTATAAATCATTTTAAGTATCATGCTTTCAGAGCTCAGCATTCCTAGATTCCCTATAGGGCTATATGTTGACTTTAGTATATGATCACAGATTGTTACACTAACAGGGAAATCATAAAGTTGTGGTTTTAAAAATACTTTGTTTAAAAAGATTATAGATAAATCAAAATGCTCGTAAGAGTTAATGCTGGACTAATTAACAAACTCAATGTAATTTGCTGGAAGCATTCCAGTCTTCCCAGTTCTTTGAACTGTACCATACATCCAACCATCATCAATTGGTTGTACATTGATGATGTAGTCACCATCTCTGAAGGAAACTTCATCTTCATCTTGGGCACTATAGTCATACATAGCTCTATAAGTTCTCTGTTAAAAGACAATAGGGGAAAGTCCATTAAACAAATTCCATTGGAAGGCAGCTACTAAATCAGTTAATGTGACAATTTCTATAAGCATATATCCATCTATCTACAAACCATCCATCCAAAAATTTTATGTAACTACAATTGCTGGCTGAATTAATCTGCAAACATTTTCTTTGTGTACAATGTATTTCAAAGAAAAAAAATCTGTAATCATATAGGGATGACCATAATTGTAGTCAAAAAATGGCGGTAGGCACAATTGTGTAATCAAATGGCCATCTTGACTTTTTTAATTGTGGTGGCCTCTCAGCTCCGGCAGTCCTTGGATGAAACCGATTATCTAGACTCCTTTCAGTCGGGATTCAGGCC